GGTTACGAGTAAGGAATACAATTCAAAATCACCCATATCACATACTCATCTATAACTACTCGCAAGAAATGGATCAAGTCCCCCTGAGTAAAACTTTGAAATCGGGTGTCTAATTTCTAGCCGATGACGTATCTGTTATCGGTACCTAGAAGTCACACGCAAGTGGCAAATTAGAGTAGCAAAAGTGTCACTGACGTGCATCACGGTAGAACCCGGTATCACGAAGTAGCCTCAGATGACAATTCTTCATTAACACCCAAACGAAAACAAAGTGCACCGCATAACACGCTGCACGAAGTAGCCTCGGAGGTTTACTTTGATTATTGGAGAAGTGACAAGCTATTCTCGTCAACCGCTGTTTACTGGGAAATCAATGCCCACCAGCTCGACTGCGTGTGAAGAATACGGATTTGCTCTGCTTAAACCTGTGACTACCGTCTATACTCCCAGACTGACCAGTCATCTTTCACAATGTTAAACACACCGTTGCTGCTCAATAAACTCTGTTCCGCCCTGCCTGACTACCGTCAGTAGGAGTGATTTGCTGATTTCTGTCGCTACGTACTAGTGTTGTTGCTCGCTGCTAAAGTAATGCATGACAATTCACTTGCACGATTCGACTATTCGAGGGCAGAAGCGGTTCCCGGGTTAAAGCCACAAAAGTTTTAAACGTTTGCTAGTGGAAGTCCTTAGTGAAAGCGTAAGTTTTCATGAAGATTGAAACTTCGCATTGTAGCCATTAGGACGCGCAGCGTACACTTAGACGGCGCTTTGTTGCAAAGCAAACTAAACTGGGTCAGTGAGCAAGATACCACATGAAGTGGACAGACATGAAACTGGAACTATAATTTAGTACGCAAGGAGGCCCGGTACACGTGTTTGAAACAGACATACTACCGGGGTCGACGGTATTACTACCCGACTTTTGCAGAATCGCTGTGGGTTCTGGCACTTAATTCCCACTTGGTCGTGTGTTTGGTAGGAAAGGAAGGTAGGACAATTCGGTTTCTGAAACTGAACCTCAATATAACACAATAACAAATAGCACTCATGTAAGTTTTTCAGGCAGATGGCCAAATCCGGAGGTAGGGGATCATGATCAACAGCAGTACATCAGCCATTTGAACTGATGCTAGCAGACACGAGACTGGAGTCGATTGCGAGCCATGTCATGTAAAGTCTCGAGCCAAGCACAAGGCGAGTCACGTGGACTGCAGCCCAGGGAGCAGGACAAACCGATGGCACCCAGTTCAATGCCACGAGCACTGCGCCACCCTATATCTGGAAGACAAGGCCTCTCTTCGATAAACGGTGACAAAGCATAGGTAGTAAGTGATCAAGCCAACGCAACTTGTTCAGAGAAGCTAATTTGATTATCGCTGCTCGGAACTCGCCTACGACCATAATAGTAGCGGACGTGCTGGTGCCACCCGATACCAGCAATGCTCCGTAAACAGCGACGATCGAAGGGGCCTAGACTATCATACAGTAAGATGGCCCTCACTGTGGCCTGGTAAACACGGCCTTTCAGACAGAGGGAAATCCCGGAGCCACAGATTTAGGGAGGCAGTTCCGGTTTTTGCAATACGCGAAGTGACTTGAGCGTTTATGCACCCAACTTTGCTGATGCAGCCACCTAGGTAAGTGGGTTGGTCAACCACCTCGAGTTCCTCCGAATCAAGTGGCTGGTGATCCCTTAAAAAACATTGTACTTTCATAGTACGAAGCATACACCAAATAGTGGGACTCTTCTAGAGAGGTTATTCACGGCTAATTGCGCCGCTCCAACATTGTTAAACAGGAAGACAACATCGTCTGCATAATCAAGATTAACTAGCCTTTCACCAAGCAGCTCCACAAGGGAACACTCCCTAATGGAGTCCATGACAAAGTGGAACAAAATAGGGAAACTGGACAACCCTGAGGAACGCCACTTGTCGGAAAGGCATCCGATAAGTCACCGTAGAGGCTGACTCGGGTATAGGGCACGTAAAACGTTCACATACTTCATGAGAACACTATTCCGTCTAAGTATTTCGAACAGAATGCAACGATCGAATGAATCAAACGCACTCTTAAAGTCAAGGAACACAACTATGGCAGGTCTGTGTGACGCTGCACTCTTATCTGTTCAAAGAGCCACGTCGTCCGCGGAAAGCTAACTGCTCTTCTCGAATCTGCAGTGAGACGACGAACGAGAATTAAGGTCAATGATTTTGTCACAACTGGTTAACACAACCGTCGTGACAGTCTTGTTATATTGCCACTAAAATCGATTCAGTCGTTACCCGGGATGATCTGTCTTGCAAACATGTCCGAACAGGGCTCTGCAGAGGACCTTACCATCCTGAAATAATGCAGATGAGAATCAGGGTCGGCTGCGATCGCGTTTCGGACCTGTCTCCGACGGAGACTCTAAACTAACCGGCCATGCCACATCCTGCATTAGCTGAGTAGGAAGAAGTCCGAAAGCAGGGGACCAACTGAACGCACCTTGAAAGTGCCCTGCAAAACGTTACATACGGCGTTCTCTGATTGTTTCACTGACGTCCGGTTTCTTAGGACCACTGGCACGGATCAGTTGGAAGGGCTTGCGATAGTTGCCTAATGCTTCTGACTCCTCCATTTCTTGGGCACTACTGGTCCACAAGCCGTCATTGTCAGTGCACAGTCTACGCTTTAGTTCGCGTCTAATGGTCCCTCTGGTCACATTGTGCTCAGGGCCAATCGACAATTTTCTTCTGGATTCCAACAGGTTCACCAACCACTTGAATATCCAGCGACTGGTGCGGTGACGAGTAATAGTACCACAAGCAGAGGAACCCGCTTCGTGCACGGCGATCGAGACACTATTCCAATGAAGTTCAGTGCCACTAGGATAAGAGAGCAAACGTCCGGTACGCAGGGCATTCTGGTAGGCTTGCCTGATAGAGGGCTAAGATAAATTATCACTCGCCAATCGAGGGACACACTTCGTACGCTTCCCAGACGAAGATATTCCAAAAAGCGACAATTCTGGGTGGAACAATGCCACCTGTAACAGACAGCAACGTGATCAATTTGGGTCCATCGTTGACCAGCTATAAATGGACGCCAGTCTAAAAGCGGTGCTAGTAAGAAACAGCTAGGACTACGTGCACAGTTGCAACAGACGCTCACCGTTGTCCGTAGGTTCGGAGTTAAGCCCCGAATTACCACTTAGCTGAGCCCGGACGACGTACTTGTGCATTCGTATCCTCGTCCAGAACTATGATATATTAATTAGTAGCACTGTGGAGCAGCGCGTTCAGTTCGTGGTAGGTGTCTTGATGACATCAGGACTGCAGTCAGTAGGAATACAAGCGGAAGTCACAAACATACAGCGTCTAGCGCTATTCCGTGAATCAACCTTAGCTGATGCTGTCTAACAAACTGCACACAAACGGCTGCTTACAGGAATCCAATCAACCAACCATGATACCATGGAGCTAAGAATGATGCGCACTCTAGTCATCATCATTACACCCATCAGCTAGTGGGAAAAACCTCAGCTATTGTGCTGCTCAGGCCAGCATGATCAACGATTGCTGCATTAGCGCCTCCAAGTGCGACGGGAAAAGCCGGGCGCAGTCAGTTCAACAATCGCGTGAGGACCAATGATCCTAGTTTCAGACACATTACCAGTTAATACTCAAGGTGTTCAACGTGGCCTCACATGGGATTGCTGCCGATAAGCGTCCAGTGGGTGGTGCGGGAAGGTAGCTGCAGATGGTGTGAATCTAGTGGAATGGCGGAACTATGGAAGGAGGGTAATGGGAAGGGCGTAAAAGAAACGGGTGGAAAGAAGGGAGACTCCATCAGCAGCATGTTTCCGCTTATCCGCCCCGCTGTGTGCAACAAACAAGACAACCCTTGATAATCTGCGCTACGGCCGATGCAGGATGTGGTTGCAGTTTGAGGAAGTAGTCAAGTTGTATGTGGACTGAGATACTGCCAAAGCGCCCAGACCTAGACAAGAAGAGGAATAGGGTTCTCAAGCAAAGCCTTTGGTTCAAAAGTCTGTCCACAAGACAGTGGAAAGATAGTAATGATTAGGATCTACAAAAATAGACGCCATCCCATTTCCAACCTGGAGGACAAGGATACTGAGTTTGCCTGACTTACCTACCTTGACCAACATGATAGGAGTAGCTCTTAAGGGGTCCGCGGCACCACAAAGTAGAGCTCAATGAGTCGAAGGGTATGCATACCGGCGTACCACGTTAAGGCCTAGTCTTGTTGGACGAGTAGAGGATGCATATCTCCGGCGGACAAGGCTTGCTATAAAGGTCTGCATGCATTACGACAGTTAACCATGCACAGCGTAAATGCAATGTACGCACCGGTTAAAAAGTTAAGGAAAAAGCGAACACGGTGAAAAGTTAACACCAGTCGAGGATGAATGAAACATCCATCGCTAAATTGCAACGGGCGACACCTACTAAAAAGTCAGTGTCTAGCGTTAGAGATGCTCAGAATCTAAGCATAGACGTCCCATTACTATGAAGGAAACCTTGGATGGCTCAAACAGTAGGATCACATCCAACAGAGACAAGCATGCAGTGCAAGAAATGGCTTCGCAACATCTAAATGCCTATAAAACATCAACGGAGGGCGATAACTTGGCTTACGCTGCGTTGAGGCTGAAGGGAGCCAGACGTCATCAACTCGAAAACCTCCGTAAGACGTTTACAACAATCATTTCAACTGAGTCAAATATCGATTGCAGTGGATTTCGTTGATCGCTTTTGTGTAATTTAATACGAACACTGAGCTAGCCCGGTAGCATAATAGTGTTACTTGAAACCTCGTTGGAATCAGTCAACAACCGGTAGTGTCATTACGTATTTACACTGATGGAGAGAACTAGATTTTTATTTGGCCATGCAACACTTGACCCAAAAGTCTCAAGAAAAGGGTTTTATGTTTTAAATATCAGGAAAAAGTGAGGATTTTGGAAAGCGAGCAAAACGTGAAACTCAAGGCAATCTGTCGTAGACTTATTAGTCCATGAGCCACACCCACTATGGTGGTTTTTAGCGAAAAGACGGAAAGTTGTACGAATACTAAGGGTTGGTTAGGTTCTCCTGGTTAATGCGGTGGAATTAAGTAGACCAACCAACGGGTAGTAGTCAAGAAAAACAAGACAAAAGCAGAAGTGAGCTATCAAAAGCAGTGGAGGCGAGAAATGTTAACATGCGAATTTAATAGGTTTGCCACAGCAAAGAACTGCATAACGAGCAGTAGGGTGAGACCAGGGTCGTAGGTACAAGCAATCAGCAAGACTCAAAACTATACTGTATTCATCGCCCCAGGCATTCACAAATAAGCGTCTATTAGAGGTAAAGTAATGATGGGCGCACATAGAGAAATGAAGTGTCCCGTATGCAAGATTAAATAAAAGTTTACAACCGTATTAGTGGGAGTGAAAATCAGAGAATGATCCAGTTGTACAGCAACCGTAAACGACGACCAGCGAACCAGATAAGAGATGAAGTAACCGCAACGAAACGAACGATAATCCGAAGCCTGAGGGATCGGTCTCATGAAGTATGGTGGAATCATTCTTCATTTTCGCGGCGACTCTGGAAGTGATAAACGGATAAGTAACTGAAATGCATAACATCCCAAGTGAGTAATCATCAACCAAACGAGCACATGAAATGCAGTAAAACCTGTGGAGTTCGAGAACGGCCGAGCTGACGGGTTATTTAGAATCAACAAGAGAAGAGATGATAGGACTTCGCCAAGCAAAATTAGCTGGAAGGCACAGGTGTACGGTGCTTTGCGTTAGTCTACGCAAAATGGATTTTAAAAGAGACATTACTGTGGACCTCTTAAAGCATAAAGCCAACGAGGAAATGGAATTTAAAACAACCGTAGTGCATCTTACTTATAGGGATAAATTCAAGAAATGGCATTAAGCATATCTTACGCCGTTTCGAGAGTTGTGATAGCTTCAAGAGTAGAGAAGGATTTCTAGTGCTACGGCATGAGAAGTGTGATTGAGTCAGTTAGCAGTTCCGAAGCGATAACGACAAAGCTAATACTACGATACCTTTACATAGAATTCTGCTTGTTGTTAATGATGGTTATACATGACTGCCTATGTTGGCACGGAAGAGTGAAGCTGCACAGGCCAATAATCATTTGTTGTTTCCAACAAGGATATGGGGAAAACGGCTAACAGTGGGTTCAAGTAGAATATTTGGCAGACTTAGAGGTGTGATATTAACATCCACACAGATTCACTTGACTCTGTAAACAGTGGTGTCGCGGCGGTCCGAGGATGATGAGACGTAATAGTACACAAGTGTAAACAATCACAACAGCTCATCATTAATGCGAAAGCACTAGCTCTTCAGCAACGATAGCAAAACGAATCGTCTTAAGATGGTATTGACATATACGAAACTGAGACCCAAATAGAACTAACTAAGAAACGAGTTATAAATCAATACACGGTTCAAGTATTACAAGTTGGATAAAAAGTGATTTCAAGCACCTCATCAATTCTACGTCGAGGTTGAAACCGTATAGTTCACTTCGGTCGTTAGTTGCAACTGACTAACCAATTTGTCTAGATGTTTGAAAGTTATGGACAAAAACTTTATGCAAGCCGTGAGAAGTAACAGAATTAAACGATTTCCCAAAATCAGAAGAGGGAGGGCCATGTGTTCATACGCAAGAACAAGTTGTAAGCTGAGAGTGCTGTCAAGTGAAAGCCACCAAAGTTTGATGGCATCGATGCGTTCGGTGATCATTATCTAAAGATGTGAATGTGTGTGCAGAAGAAATATCGCAAGCACAAACGTTGTGATGAGTGCGGAATTGAAGAAACCATCACCATTGGTTCAGTAAGCAGTAAAGGGTAATGTTGGAGTCGGCCAGAGTCCGTTGTGCAGTTCACGTAAGTTCTCATGACTCCAGCGACTGCAATATCTTCACACCACTCGCCACACAAATACAAAATGAGAGCTACAGATGGAAATAGTTGTTGGACACCAAGTTGCGTCAGACTGAGACATTAAAAAAGCGAAGAGAAAAATAAATCACTAAACGATGCCAATGAAGTCTAGTGGAGGTTCGTATAGGTACGTCCAGATGCAGCTAACGGCTGTGACTTCACAACAACAATGAGAGCGTAAATAAATCAGTTGCAGTCACGGAAACCATTGAAAATAGATTTGCAGCAACGTACGGTACTACTGCCCAGCCCACTTGTCTTGCTGAAACAAATATCAATGGGAAAGAAGCGAAAACACAGTTGGTGAGTGCCCGTTAAAGTTTTAAAAACTATGAACGAGGGCGTCATAAACAGAATCCGCAGCAATCTACCTGCAAATCGAATATGTGCAACGCCGCATTACAGTGAGAGCAGTAATAGCACTACACTATACAGCTGACTACACATTTCTTTTCAATGCTTTACATGACCGTAATTGATGTGACTACACTTTCGGTGCTATACTCCAATCAAAGTCGCTTCATGTCACTTGCAGTCTACTGTGGTACTTTGTACAACCGCATAAGAGAAAATAAAGCTCGACGAGGAAAGCGATAAACTGGCATTCGCATTACGTGACTGAGACAATGCATGGGGCGTCGGAGGATAACGTATCTGAAACAGAGGCTGTCCGCTTCAAATATGAGCAAACCGATACAGACAATGGCTATCGGAAATTGACAACCAATCTATGATTTCTGAACGAATAGGCCAGGTTCCACAGCTGTACTAAAGAGGTGCACAGACGGAGGCACTGTGTACTTCGGCTTGAGATGACGACATACGTGTCGCAGTTTGATGAATGCAAGGTGGGCCTTTGCGATTTGTTATCAGACCACACAGCCGCCAGCCAGGACGCAACTTCCTCGGTAAAGGAAGCAAGATAATTGTTCCAGAACATCAACTGTAATGGCGAGTTAAGGCACAAGCACATGCCAATACGAGTGCTTTTATTATTACACATTAACTGTGCTGCAATACAAAAAGGGGATATATGAAAAATTGAGATACTGAGTAGTGTAAAATACAGAAAAGGACAGGGGACATACTGCTTAATAAGACATTATGCTTTAAAACCGTGGTTAAAAGAGGCCGGCTCCCAGCTATGTGAACAAAAGTATCCAGTCTACCAGAGGTGTTCATTGTCCTTCGGTTCCCAGCCAAGCAGCCCGAAGACACTAATCGACACCAAATTCGACGCGAGAACCATCATTTTTATGGACCTAGCCATCACTTGGCCTCCCCCCCTCTCTTTCTATTCACAACCCAGACGCGCAAACAAGGCACGTCATGAGCAACACGTGGCCCAGCCATCGGAGCCCGCTGCGTGATATAACGATGATGAGCGGTTCACTCGCTTTTCCTGCATCAAATACACGACGCCGAACAAGCTCATTGCTCCCACCAGACATGAGCTAAGCTGCAAAAGCAGCGGTGATCGAATGTAGTTAGCGGCTTTATGTCTGTCGACTTGATGGGCCATTTTTCGCAACCGTACAATAGGACCTAACGGACGAGCACAGTTCGAGGCCTCCTGCATCCATCACCAAATGGTTCAGAGTTCCGGGTGGTTAGTGGATCATTCCCAAACAAAATGATGGCATCGGCGTAATCCAAGTCCGCGACGCTGTCGCCAGAGATAAGCTCGATATCGTAATTTCGGACATCTTCCAATGCTCATTGGATATCATCGATGGCAAAATTGAAGAGGAAAGGTAAAATAGGGCAATCTTATTGCAAGCCGCTCATAAAGGAAAGCCAACCGTAAGTCCTGACTTTACCCGATGGTGCGTTTTTCCTTAGTAAACAATTCCAAAATGCATAGATATTTAATCAAATGTCGCTCCGATGTACAAGAAAGCATCTTGGCAAGTCGCTGTACAGTTTCACAGATTACACAGCAGCAGACATGGTAGACGAGCAATTCGACTGGAGGGCAACAGTAAACGCACCACTGACGTCAGCTTCGAGTCATGGGGTGCAGAATCATGAAGTAAACACAAGGTATGGGTTAACGGCATCCAGGTTAGTCGTCAGTGGCCTGATTTCCAGCTGCTGAAAATCGCCTCTTCTTGAACCTCGCACTACTGCATATCTATTTAAGGCAAGACACTTCTCGGTAAGCAGTGATTGGGTGTGACCTCGTTGGACCATCTCACGGTACGAATGTCAAGCGTCACAAGAGAAACAGTGAGCCAGTGCGACTGGCGACTCAATGTGGTAGCGAATGGTAACGCAGCCACTGTCAATTCAGTCGGCTAGTGCACAAGGATAGTAATGAGAGTATGGAGAGCAAACACAGCATTAGCATGCTTCCGCTTATCTACTCTGTTGTATGTGACAGGCAAAACGATCTCAGTATTGCATGATGAGCAATGCAAAAGGTGGCTGGGGGCCGACGAGACAGCTTGAGCTTAATATGGGCAAGGACACTGCCGATTCGGCAAAACCTAGAGAAGAAAACGGACAGGGGTTCTCAAATAAAGCCTTTAGCTCAAAGACTGATCGTAAGATAAATTGGAAGGATACCAACTAGCAAGTGCTGTAGAAACCAGTGAAGCACCAGTTCCCAATCAATAGGGTTAGGAGATTGAGTTCGCTTCATGTCTACACATTACGCATTTGGTAAAAAAAAAATAACAGAACTGCCAAGCATATATAAAGATGGATCAAGGAGGCATGCAAGCTACTGCATAACGTCGCAACGAGTCTGCTTTCTTCGTGATGGTTTAAAAGATGACTTAGGTACACTTATTGCATTAGTTTCGAAATCCGGTAGTAGCCACTTAATGGTGACCAAAAATCCAAATGAAGAAAAACATGAAACGACGGCGTCAGTGACGAGGTATTTTCAGCAGATAACACTATCTCGTCACTCACACTGACAAGAGGGATTGGTCTGCAGAGTAAGGTAAACGCATGTGGAAAAAAGCCGTGCCACCTGTGCATTAAGGAAATCCTCAAAATCTGGAAGGCCGATATCGGCAGAAGAGTGACAAAACTACATCGCCATCATTATACACGGTCGCTGAAGGTGGAAAACATCTCAGTTGCTGTGCCACAATACATAAAAGGGAAAATGCAACAGATGCACGCCAGCTGAGTTACAAGGAACGGATGGGCATTGTTCCGGAAAGCTACCAGCCGCCAACTACGCAGCGAAGAAAAACATATTATGCTAAGAAATGAAATCGTGGTTGGAGGGGGAGAATGACCAAACAAAATAATTCATCAATGAGGTTCGCCACGAACTTTCAGATATCACAGAATATTTCAACTGTTCAGAAAAGAGTGTCAACAGCGAGACCGGTATAAACTGTTAAGAATGAAATAAACGCAATTAGCCAATTCAAGTTGAGACATGGAAGAGATGCTCACCCTTTTAGAATTCAGGATGATGAGTAGGTGACGGAAGATTTCGATGAAATCGATAAACAAGTCCAGCGCATGCCTAAAAAACAAACGGGACCCATTGTAATCAAATGTAGAGTGCGGACAAACCGTATGTATGCGTGCATATCACTGGCTGAAATCCTAAGGAGCGCCGCTTCGGAGGCGGAACATTGATTATGTTCTAACACTGTTACCGAAAAAAGCGTCCTCAAATGGGGACAACTAATATCTCATGACAACAGCCCGACTACGATAGGATAGTGGAAATGCTTTAACAAAGCAGTTGATTAGCGAAGTTGTATCAGAAAACAAGCTCCGTGAAGAGCCTAAATGAACAAACTAAGGCGAAATGAGCGAGAAAACCTGATCATTCACAATGGTGCTTGGCGCAAAATATGCGGCAATACGATGCTGTTCAGACGTGAATCTCCCAATAGCAATATGGGTTGTATACTATTCATGACAAGGTGAAAACTTATCAGAAGCTAGTATTTATAAATCTTTCTTTTTTCGTCGATGAAGCTGTTCTTAACAGGTGTCATTGTGTCGCAAAAATCGTGACAAATAGATGCAGATATGGCGATTAAACACACGGTGGCTGACTGGTCGAAGCTGACTCGCGGTGCATACGAAGAGCTAGTTATTCCATGATCGTGCTTAGATGGAAACATGGGTGTAACGATGATTTCGATTCGTTGCGTTGTGGGTCACATACCATAACGCAACAAAGCATAGAGCAAAATATGCTGTATGTAGTTGGATGAGAAAGCACACCAGACGTGCACTGAACTAGCTATCGCGAGTCACGATAATCAAAAGTTGAATGGATTTGGAGTTTAGGTTTCTTGGAAAGTTCCGCACTCTACATAAGAGCAGCTTGTTAACGATCGGTTGACTTAAAGCAGCCAATAAACATCCGTGTGTAGAATTGATCCCGGTGTGAAATCGAGTAGTATGCGAGGTATCAATGCATTCTGTCAAACCTGCTAACTGAAAGAAGCACATGTCCAACGACTTTTATGCATTGGTTGTCCGTAACGGTTCCATTGCTGGGAAAAGTGTAGCGTTCAAAGGTAAACTGTACTTTGGCGATTATTCAGGCCGTCAGAACAAATATAACGAGAGATAACACCAACTGCAATGAATTCGGCTATTTCGCGTATCCTCCTCAGATGTTTACATACAAGTGGTGGAATGAACAGGTTGAATATATTAAAAACAATCAACGTGAGATATTATTGGTGAAATCTAGGGCAGTCGACAGTCTTCGAGTTTACGTGACTCCAGTTACAGGAAAAAAACGAGCACAAGTCTCATAACGGTAGGGCGAGGCTGTTTACGAAATCCGACACACTTGGTTGCAACCACCGAAGTGTTATTGTATGAACTAGCGATCAACCCGCCGTCGTTGATCTACAAAATTGATTTAGAGAGAGAACGCCTTTGTTCGTGAAATCAAACAGAATGCAACCAGTAAACGCCGGAATGAGCCTTTATTCGACATAAGATAGCACAGAACCCACTCATGATAGCTAACATCAGCCATATGGAAGTAAGGCATTATTTCAATTTCAAGCAAATAACAGTAAAGAAACAATTGAGCATTGTAGCACCTCTTATTTGACTTATGCGTCTGTTGGTGTGAAATAGAGAACTGAGAACTGGTGCGAAGCAGCGAGTAGAGGTTGCTCTGTGTAGCTGCATTATTCGTCGTTTTCGGACATGAACTTTTTATTTATCGTTTCGCTCTTTGTACTTTGCCTCTGCAAATTTTTGGTCTAGTAGCATCTTGAATTTAGACACGGTGTTCGCTTCTACTATATGCTGAGGCAGGTCGTTCCAGACATTCACCACTCTGCGTTCGAAACAGAGTTGATGGGCGACCCGCTTCAAATCCGGGACCATAAGTTTATACCGGTGTCCTCGCGTGCAGCTTGGTGTGCGCAGATGAAGTAGTTGTCTCAACATGGGGTAATCACCCAGATGTAATATCCGGTGCGTCATGATGACGTCAACCCTCAGTCGACGATAAGATAGGGTGTATAACCCTAGTTTCTTACATCGGTCTTCGTATGGCATACCTCGTAAGTTGGGAATCAGCCTAGTGGCTACATGCTGCACCCGCTCAAGCTTTTCTACTTCGCCCCGAGTGATGGGACAGTATGCGGGAGTGCCGTACTCTAGCATTGGTCGTATTATCGAGACGAAGAGGCGAGAAGCAATCTCTTCGGACCAAGTGCTAAAGCTGCGCCTGAGAGCCCAAAGCATCCGAAGGCTGTTTTGGTACAGCCTATTCGTGTTGTCAATGGACTTTAGGTCGCAGCGTGAGAGTACACCGAGGTCGCGCACGAAAGGAGCGGGATGCAACGGTTGACCAGCCACTGTGTACGTTCGGCCGTGATCACACTTACCCAACCTCATGAATTGCGACTTGGCAGGGTTGATCGAAAGGTTAACCACTGCAGACCTTGTTGAGAGGCGGTCGAGATCCTGCTGAAGTAAATCGCAATCATTGAGTGCGCGGATTACTCTCCACACTTTCAAGTCATCTGCGAACAAAGCACAATGTGATTGTAGTAGCTGAGGCACATCGTTTATATGGATTAGAAACAATATCGGGCCCAGTACAGTGCCTTGGGGCACGCCGCTGCTCGATGGATACCAGTCTGTTAGATGGTTGTCCACCTGGACTCTCCACTTCCGATCAATAAGGAAATTGCTGATCCATTTGTGCAGCGAACCACCAACACCGCACATCCTCAGTCTGTCAAGGAGCACTGCATGGTTAACCTTGTCAAAAGCCTTACTGAAGTCAATGTAAATGACGTCAACCGATTGGCCTTTGTTCAGCGCTTGTAACCATTCGTGCCTCGTCAACAATAGGTTGGTGATGCACGAACGACCTTTCAGGAAACCATGCTGTGCTGAGGTTAACAGGTTTTTCGACTCGAGAAGTTGCAGAAGGCTCTTCTTTACGATCTTCTCGAGCGTCTTTGCCAAAACTGCCGTCAGGCAGATCGGCCGGTAGTTATCCACTTTGCTTGGGTTACCACCTTTCGGGATAGGCTTTACGACTGAGCATTTCCAGTCGTCCGGTAGTAGACCAGTGGATAGTGACCTGTTAAACAGTTCAGTTACACAAGGTGCAATTATAGTCGATAATGACTTGAGGATTAGTGGGTGTATACCATCTGGCCCAGCAGGTTTCGTCCCGTCAAGATTTGCTAGAATCTTGCGTACATCCTCAATATTGCAGTCCAGGCTGTTAAGTTCGGCTGGAGCGGTGCTCGTCGAACTCATTACAGACACCTGGTCACTTGCGAATACGGAGGCGAAGTGCGTTGCCAATGCTGACGCACGATCTGTACTCGAGGTTAAAGGCTGTCCTTCTGAGCCTTCTAACACTGGGATACTAGCTATAGGTCTTAGGCGCCGCTTCACATATGCGAAGATCCTCTTGGGAGCAGATTGTAAAAAGTTCTCTTGGAATTTCAGTTACATCACGCGATCTCATCTATATCAGCTACACTGAAAGCGCACTCACGATCATTGTTCTCCATCAAAACAGTGACCCAACTGCTAAACCACATGCAGGGGGGCAGTTCGGTATGTAATCATTCCCACTACGAAAGTAACGAACGTTCAGTAGCATATGCAGTTTCAAACGATTCCCAGCCTCGAAAATTCTCGCATATGGTTTTGAAATCGGAAAATATGCATCAGCGAAGGCAGCCGCTTAAATTTAGCAGCACTCTGGAATTCATTACCCAAGCAAGCACTTCAAACCAACACCGCTATGCAGCTCCTATAATTTCAAGTGTTGTGCTATGTTCGCTGAATTTGGCGGTCCGGTTTCGGACAGTTAATCACTGGCGGTAGCGAGATCGTCAGTATGTGGCAAGAAGCAACGAGCAAGGTGCATCTCATAATAAAACAAGAAATGGAAAGCAAACATTCTCTGGACGTATTGGTGACTAAAGCGGTGGTCGCAGAGCTACCAACGCCAGTTGGCAAGAAATTCAGATTCATCAATCATATCCGAGGCATCAAGAAGTCACCCGAAGTGCCATAGAACATGCGTATGGACTAGCTCGCAGTGGGGAATCGAACTCAGATACTCAGAAGACAACCGCATGTATTATTGTGTGTTAATGCGCATCAACACGACTTTGTTTGAAGACACTGTAGACAAAAAGTACGGCGCAAAAGAGGACAGTTGGATCGGATTATCATGTAAGAGGGATATATCAAAAATCCCTACAAAACAGCCACTCTTTAAACGGTATATATTAAAAAACCGGAAGCAGATAAACAGTGTAGGACAAACGAGACGAATATAGCGAAACGAATCCGCAGCAACCACAAACAATTCATCTCTGATCAACGCATATGTGGATGGAAGATAACTCCAACTGGAACGAAACGCGTAGGACACAATATGGTACGCCTCAACATGAATAAACTAGAAAAACGGCCGAACTGAAAACCGTCGATTGAGAACACACAAGTAAGTAAGTAGGAAATCTAGCCTGCATAAGGTACTGTATGACCAACACGAATACGTGGTGAGAACTCACACGACATAGCAACCGCCTTGGTACGTGAGTTACGAATGGGTTCTCAAACCGAGAGGAACGTAGTTACTAACATCGCAAGGATTTGCAGTAACCTGCAGTACTGGTATTGGAATTGTTCAGTCTATTTCCCACAAGCGAAATTAGCAATTGCTAAGCAACAATCGATAACATGTAGACTGGTGATAGGACGGCTGAAGCCGAATTACCCAGTTCTGTGCTTAAATCAAAGATGCATAGTAATGTACTGCGGATAAGCAGGGAGTAGCAGATTAGCTAGGTGGCACTAATGGGTATACTGTATTTAAACATAATAAGCCAAACAGATAAGAAGTATGCAAGTTAGCAACAAGGTGAGGACGTTAAAGTTCGAAACGGGTGAACAGAAAAGACATACCAGACAAAATCGGTATCCCCGGATTTTCGTTTCTCGATGATCAGTTGTGTATCGAACACCACAAAGCCGCAGAAAATGGCGAATCCAATGTATAGCTCGGCTTGGTAAATTGCCGGTGAACGGAGGAACAAGTTCATGAAATTAAAACTGGCAAGCATACTAGTGGCAGACATCAGCACGGCTGAAACAGGTCGAGAGAAAGACAAACATGAAAGAGAATGAACAGCCAAGCGCATATGGTGGATGAGAAAGTAATGTAAATACCAAAGGTAGGCAGGCACACCCCATACGGAAAACTCAAATAGTGTAAGTAAACAAGTAATAAGCGCCAGACATAATAAGCCCATAAAGTAGGTGCAAAACATGGGAGCAATCGTGACTTCATAAATGAAACTGTTAGCTGATTTTCAAAGTTGTATCTCACAACAAATTCGCTACGGATTGCGAAGTGGCTGTACTAAGAGGATTACCGAACCACGCGCCTGCCTACTAAACAAAAATGTGGAGTGACAATAATAACCTCCATGGGCTGTCTCTTTGGATCCACCCTCTCGCTCAGAAGTCGAACGTGAGATCGAACCGTTGAAGTTGAACAAAGCCGCGGGACCAGATGATCTTCCTCCAGCCCTCTTCAAATTCGGAGGCTCTGCTCTTGTTGATG